TTTGCTCTTATTTTGCCGGTGGGAATTTTTTTTATTGAAATGATGTCCCGTGTATTTTGTCACGTGACTCTCAATTAAACAAAAGTTGTCAAGAAGTCAGTGTGTAATTAATGCTCGCATTGCTTTAATTAAATAAATATTTGTTGGGTATTACCTATATAGCCAACCAAAATGTGGACTTGCTTTTGAGCTTTGCTTTTTGGTTTTAACTTTTCCCCAAAAATAATTCCAGTTGGCGTTGCAAACTAGTTTTATCAAGTACCTCTAACTAGTACTGCCTAACTTGCCTTTCGATTAGAAACCAATAAATAAGCCTGAAGTATTTGCAGCAAACTTCCAGAGACACTTAACTTCTGGCTTGTTTGAGAACTGGAATATTGATGGTGGCCCCTGAGAAACTTTCACTCCAACTTCAGAATACCAGAGGCAATCAATGCAGAGGGCCAAAAGAAACAAGTCAAGACAGCTACCTAAATAACTTTGCAGCAGCAGCAGCAGCAGCAGAAGCAGCAAAGGAGGAAAAACCATGGAAAACACGGCAAAAGCAACGGCAAACAACGAAGCGGAGTTAGCGGGAAATTAACGGCAGGGCCGGTAAGTTTTGTAAGGGAGAAAGCGGGGGAAAGCCGACGGAAAGTTATTGAGCAACGACCTAAAACAACAAAATTCTTAGCCGCTAAATTTCTGGCCCGTGGATGGTTCGATGAATTTATTACTTTTGATGTTCAAACACGAAAACTGCTGCAGGCCGTAAAACAAGGACTCCAGACCCCCGATTTCCCCCCATTCCCCATGTTTTACCCATCAGACTTTGGCGGAGTCGAGCAAATGCTATTAAAAGTTTACATGTCTCAATAGAGTGTTAAGAGATTAGTTGGCATAAAATATTTGCAGAATTTCAACGAAAAAGTTGAGCAGAATGGGAATCGATTGTGGCTGGCTGGCTGAAGAACTGGAATGGGGTTCTAGTTTTGCGGAGCGGTGTTAAAGTTGTATAAAATCAGGGTAGCTCTGGAGATAAAGAATGCAATCCAAAATAAAATATTTAATACTTTAGCACTTAAATGTTTAATTAACAAATTGTAAGGATGTGTAAATTACGATTTCAGTTTTCTGGGAGTGAGGCACCAAACCATCAAATGCAGAATGCCTGAAAAGACAAACACAAAACCAATCACACCACAGAGTTTCGGCATCAACACCTCGTCTAATTGAAATTACTGCAATATCCAGCTGGGTGCATGGCATTTGTCTCTTTGGCAACGCCCACATTCCAATGCCAGCACGCAAGGTTAAGGCTCTTAGAACGAATTTAATGATATACGCACCACTTTTTCTCTCCTGTTTGCTAAAAATGATTATCTCCGCATTACAATCCATTGATTCCACTTAAGCACCGCTTGAATTGCACCACATGCTGGGTGGTGCATGGGTGGTTTGGGGCCTTTTCACACAGATGCGACACTTAATTAACAAATATGCATTACAAACACCCGCAACGAACAGCAATTGGTTGGTCATGGAATCCCTCGGTATGGAATACTCTCGCCGGTCCCCCGCCCCCCCGAAAAACCCAAAGCTTAACCCTTTATTTGCCACGTCCCAGCAGCAGGACCCGGGAGTCCGCGACGATAACCCCTCCAAGGGGGCCGTCACGGGGGTTGGCATGTGTTTAATTGAAAAATCATATGCAGCGCGCATAATTATGTTTATTGCAATAATCCGATGCAAATTTGCAAAAACTCAAACTGACACAATCGCCGAAATGCTTTAGACGGTGGCAAATATGCACAGAGGCGTAGAGTTAAGGGGGTTTAACATACCTAGAAATCCTTATATTTTGGTTACATAAATGAGTTATTAAATTGTTGCTTATGATTCTGTAAATCTCCTATTATCCTTAATACTTTAAATGGTTTTATTTTACCGATTAGTTTATAAAATAGTTTATCTTAATTGAAAAGATTTCTTAGCTTCTGTGGAATTCCTTCAACGCTTGAAAGCGCACTGAATGCTGAAGCATTTTCTTTCCTTCCTCAATATTTGCACAGGTATTTTTTGTCTGGTTACATTTAGTCAACTACGCCACTGAATTAACCCCCAGTCTTGGCATTGGCAACTCCCCGATTGCCACCCCCATGCAACCGGTTGCTGCTGCAGCGACGCCCTTGCGCTTTTGTGCATCTGCAACTGCCTGGTGATTTGTGCTTGTATCCGTAGTTGTATCTGCCATCCATAACCGTGTCCGTATCTGTAAATGCATCTGTATCTATGGTATATGGTATTGCTGCTATACGCACTGTGTCTGTATGGGCGGTGTTGTTTTTGGCTGCTGGCGCGCATTAAATTGCTCTTTAAATTGCACATTTCAACGCCTACTGATTATGACAGATAATTATGTTATCGAGTGCCGCCACACGACGAATTCAACCCTTCGCCACCCACTTAATTTCCCTTTCTCACTCCGGAAATATGGCGAAAATGCTCGTTTCGATTTCTAAGATTCCTTGGTTGGAGTTATATAAAAATAGGTGTGATTAGTATGGTTTTGTATATATTTAAAAAATTGTGCTAAATTTTCTTCAGCATTTCCTATGCGTAAATATTGTATTTGCGTGCTTTTCCAGTTAGGTATACCCAAACATATATTTATCATATTATTTCTCTCAAGAAAACGCTTGTGTCTCCGCCTTCGGGAAGTCAAAGTCAAGTGAACTCGGATCCTGACGTGATGGGGGAACGGAATGGAGGGCAGGCAGCATGTGTTCGCTTAGGGGACAGGTGTACTCCCTTTACAATCCGCCTTCCCGCCTTCTTGCCGTTTCATTTCCGCAGGTACACATATTTTTAATCATCATTAACAATAATTCGAGAAATACTTTTAATTTTGTGTTCGCGCGGCAGGCTCAAGACGACATGTGGCGACGGGGGCGACAGATTCGAGGGAGGTGGGAGGTCTCCTCAGCCCGCTTGGGTTTTGTTTCCTATTCCCCATACTACCCCTTTGCTTTTTTTGCCTCAATGACATTGCACTTACTGTCTCCGCCTTCAAGATTTATGAAAAAATTTCCCGCCCCCTCGGGGGAATTGTTTTCGACGCCTTTGGCCGCGCGCTTCTGTTTGTTGTTTCCTCTTAGGTTCGCTTCGCTTTTTTCTGGTATTTTTCTTGTGTGCAATATTAATTATTATGGGCGCCCCGCCACCCACACAAATAAATCATAAATTAAAAGCTGGGAAAGTGGCTGCCACACCCCCCGTCCGTTCGTTCGCTTAGACAATTTTTATCATTAAACGCATTTGATAATTAAAAATTGTCATTTTTTAGCCGCCCCAACTTTTGGAAAAAATGAAAGAAAATATTAAATTACCAAAGAGAGGGGGTTAGGGTGAAGGGCATTTATCATTTTGCCAACTGTTTGTTTGATAAGGGAAAAGTGAACACAATATATATATATATATATACAAGGACATAAATAAAAATTAATTGGTGAGCTGCGGGGAGGATGAAATGGGAGGTGAAGTCACATAAATATTACTTAAAATAGATTCGGAAAAGCCGAAAAGTGCCAAGCCAATCTCTTCGTTTACCTTTTCCGGTTGGCTTTTTTCTAAGGTTTCATTTCATTAAGTTTTACAAGCTCTTCGATTGCCCTCAAAAGCAGAAAAGAATAAGTAGAAGAAACAGAAAGTTGAGGAAAACCGAAGTAGACAACCGTTAAAAGTAATGCCAGAAGTGGAAACCATTATAATTGTTGTTAAATGAACCAGATAGCAAACGCAGACGGTCGTGGTGCGGGAAAATGTGGAAAAGCTCACGGCAAATGTGTTTTCAATTGATGGAAGCCCGTCCAATTGGCAGGGATTCCTTCGCCGGCGAAAACGGCAACAGAAATAAATAGTTAACAGAGATGAGGGAAATAGAAGGCAATGAGTTCTTGATGAAAGTATACTTGAAAACATGTTTCCATTTTGAGTGCCTTAATTCTTGGATCAAGAAAAGTATATAATTCTTATGTAAATTGTTGGGAAAGGTTGGGAAAGTATATATTTAAGTGCATATCAAACACTCTTTTTATTTTTCTCTCCCTGCATCTTAATCTTCTTGCTTTTTTGGAAAATTTCTCAGGCTCTGCCATTTTACGCGCTATTACCACTTTTCGAAGCAATAAAATATTATTAAAATTATATTTGGCCTGCCGCACACACAAAAGCGCAGCCCGAGAACCTGGTGGCTGTAAATCAACGTCTCGATGACATTAAAATAAAATTTTAATGCGCCCGCCAGGAGGGAGACGGCAATAACGAAATAGAAAGAAACAGAAGGAGGCGGAGAAATTTCTGTGGCTCGTTTTTGATTGAAAACTTTTTCACGTCTGTAGTTTTGTCTGGGCTACCGAAAAGTCTCATCATTTTCACCTTGGTTACAGTGCAACGCCGAAAATTCATTTGAATTTATCAGCCCCCGAAAATTTGGCGGCGCGTCTGTGTGCCTTTCCGCTCATTTTACTGGGACTCAGGGCAAATAATTGTAAATATTTGATACACAATAAGGCAATAAAAATAAAATTGAAAATTTTCGCTTTGTGCCGCCGCCTTTTATTATTATCATCATCATCATCCTCCCCATTTCGTCTGGGATTGTGTCGTAAAGGAAATTGATACATAAGTCATTTTTATTGGCATATTCTTTTGTGTAATTACGTTGCAGGTAATTTAAATTTCCGTTTCGTGTTTTCTCCGCGGCTGATTCCGCTAGCTGGCAATAATTTATGCCTGATGAAAAACACATTAAAAATTATATGTAATTTACGTAAATCGCATCGATTTTAAGCCTGAGTGAAGAACAAAGTACCAGATAGCATTGGGCGATACACTCGGTGAAAGGAGATATTTACCGACAGTTCAAGAGAAATAGATGGAACAGGTTTCTTAAAAATGATAATACCTTCAGAGAACTAAAGACTCCTTATATTTTATCCCAAAAAAAAAACCATAAAGAGTTTTGCAAAATTAACTGCCGTTTTATTTTAAAGTTTCCGCTTTCTCGCCTCTAGCATTTTTCCGCTCAATTGTCCTGGACCCGCTGTACGAAATGTTCCAGGACATTCACACAGATGCAGTAGATGAAGATGATCTTGAAACAATGCATGCTGAACTGCAGCAGGATAAGGCGTTCAGTGCTCATGACTGTTCCAAGCTCGGAGACCTCGAAACTTAAGAAAAAACCGAAACCAAATAAGAACGGCCAGTTATTTCGGCATTTTTGTACAAACGATTTTAAACTGACGTCCTAAGCAAAGCGTCGATGATCTTCATCGTTACAATATTTTTATCTCCAGTTCGATAAATTATTTTATTTTAAAGTATTTCCTTAGCAAAACAGGAAAACAGTTAAGAAGTCAACTACAAAGTGCCCCCGGCTCCGGCACTTAACCGTTCAATTTGGGGTTCCGACAATCCGCCACAATTGGCCCCCCATTTCCCTTTATCCCCGCCGCTTTTACTCCATATTACCTATGTGTATTTTCCTGAGCTTTTTTGGTGCAAAGTTTTTGCGGCTTTTTCAATATTTTATGAGTCAAGCTTTTGCGTTAACACCTTAAGTACGGAGGGCATTGCGGTTGGAATGGGGTAAAGCGTCCTCCTCGCAGGGAGTATAAGTGTATGTGTGTGTGTTTGTGTGTATGTGTGGCAGGAAATCCCAGCGGGAAAGTGGGAAGTAGGTTTTTTTGTCCTGAAAAAACCAGTGGAAAACCTACTGCTTTTGGCAGGCGTAGGGGTAGGGATAGATGAAAACCTACTTCTTTTGGCAGGCGTTGGGAAGGGGTAAATAATTTCGGACCGCTAAATGGGGTGGGTTTCTGAATATGACCATAAGTTACAACGAAGTTGTGACTAATTATTGTCTTTCTTCGGAATGTTGTTATAAATTATGTTATGATGCACGGTCACATCAGTATAAAATTTCGTGCAAAAAGTGAAAAAAGTTCAGTAAACTCTAAAAAACAAGATAAAGGTAAGTTATAACATAAATATTTTTGTTTTTATAGCCTTATTTCAGTGTTACGGATATGGTGAACATAGGCATTTTTCCAAAAACTACATTTTAGCCGCCGGAGGTCTTTGTCAAGTAAGTAAGTTTTTTATTTAAATTTATTTTTCAGTTTTACAAAAACAAACAATGTTTTTTTTAGAATTTGTAATAGATTCGACTTCAAGGATTCTGGCCCTTGTGTTTATATTAACGGCAAAACTGAACGTGCGCAAGCGGACATTCCGATTTCGTCATTTGAAGAACTCGGCCATTTGGACTCCGATGCCGAAGCCAATCCAGAAGCATTTGTAAGTACTCACTAAATTTTTAATAAGTTTCAACAGCCCTGTGTTCCCATGCTTTTTACTATGTTTATTACTTATTTTTCTAAATTTCTCTATTTTTTCCATTACTTTTTATATAATTATTATTTGTATTAATATGTAATATATTAATGTATTATGGTTTTTATTTTCAGAGTCACTCAGAAACGACATATCAAGATGATCTGCGTTCACCGTTCACTAAGGCAAAAAATAAAACATACAACAATACTTTTGTCATAAAGCCCTTGGACTGTAAATAGATTAATAAATGCATATACCAAATTAAAAAGTATTGTTTTTTATTGCTGTTTTGCATGTGGAAATTCTGAAAAGCGGGAAGGCCAAAAACCAGTGGATTTTGTCCTGCGTTAGGCAGCAGGATTTCCACTGGTTTTTTCAGTACAAAAACCAGTGGATTTCCACTGGTTTTTTCAGGACAAAAACCAGTGGATTTTGCCCTGCTTTCGGCAGCTGTAGATCCAGTGGATTTTGCCCTGCTTTCGGCAGCTGTAGATCCAGTGGATTTTGTCCTGCTTTGAGCAGCTGTAGATCCACTGGAAAACCTCCTCTACCCCTGCCTTTTGTGTGTCACCCCCGTGTATTTGGCAAGGAGAGAAGGCAGAAAAGGAAGGGGTAGAGGAGGTTTTCCACACATTTCTTGTATGAAGAAAGCAGAGGAAAGAAGCATATTTTCCACAGGTTTTTTCCCGCTGGGATAACGCGCAAGTTGTAAGTTTTAACTAGCGAACAACTTGCGTTGGACCAAGACCCGGATTCAGGAACCCAGTTCCCCTCCGTTTGCCACCCATGGAAACCGCAGAATCAAGCACGAGGGCGGACAAGGGTTAAGGGTTAAGGGAGGCAGCCAGGAAGGAAGGACGACTGTTGCGCCTGTTAGGCAAGGATGTGTCTTTGTTGTTGCCGTGGTTGCAATGAAGCATCGAATATCACACACACACAACTAAACCATTTTTTCCTTTGATTTACCAAAGCACCGAAAAAACCTCATAAATTGAGGCAAATGGTATGAATTTTTTATTTAAAATTTATTGGGTTTTCATTTAGTTTTAAAATCGTGGGGTTACCAAACAATCTAGTTAATCGTGTTTATCAGGAAGTACGACTCCTAAAAATCCCTTAAAATATCGAAATCTTTGATCTTATACCCCTATTGTTCTCTGTGTATCATACTGTAGACGTCGACAACGATTTATTTCCCAGGCAACTTAAGTACGCCCTCCTCCTTGCGGAACAATGCCCATTCATATGGGCACGCCCACACGCCCCCCAGCCACACACACTTACTCGAGGAAATAGAGAAATCCGGAGGGAGGGTGTGAGGTATTTTTGGCGCTCCAACTCAATGAGTCGAAATTAAACAATGCAAAAGATTAAGTGCAGATTTGGGACTTTATCTGCTTGTGCCATAAATTGGTATTTAAGGGATACCTCACAAATGTCTATAGCACACATGCAAACATACACTGCCACACAAATCCATGGATATATCGGTGGAATAGCAGCTTATGTGGGTGGCGCCTTCAAGAATGCTGCAAAGTTTGCTTTGCCAACAATAGATCAGCCCCCAGCAAACGCAACCGCACTAAATTGCTTGCTTCCTTTTTTGCAGGTGGCAACCCTAGCGGAAAAAAGGGGAAACCCAAAACCAAATGCAGCGTAAGTTTTCCGTTTTGTTGTTTACCAATACAGTTTACCTCACGGGAAAATTCCAAGCAAGGGGGCGATGAAACATGCACAAGATTAATTGCAATCGGTGTTTTGGCATATGTTTTATACTTTGTCTTCGGCTTTTGCTCCAAACTTCTTCCAACTGTTTTGTGTGTTTGGGTTTTCTTTGTGTAAGTTTTTTGTTACCCGGGTAAAATAGAAAATAGTGGGGACTCTTCCCGGCCAGGTGAGTGCACTTGGCACTTGAGATGGTAATTAAGCAACTATTTATGGGGTTTGGCGGAAACATATGTAGAGGAAAGTTTCCCCAAACAAATGCGATAAAATCAGAATTTTTGTTATGGCATTACAACATTTAAAATTTTCTGACTATTTGATAACTCATTAAAATTTGTTTAATAATTCCCCAGCCACTGTCAATAATAATTATAGCCATATCTGGCAGCCAGATTGGCCTCTTAAATGCCTGCTCCTTTGTGCCATTGTTCAGCTGGGTTTTCCCAGTGCCTCCTCCTCTTGCGTTTCTTATTCAATTTCATTTGCAGGCCAGGACCATAATTCGATTGCCACATGTCTTAATGGCATAATCCTGGCAACAATAACAACACATTATCCGGGGCTTCCTTTTATCCTGTCCTCACACAGCCCCCATATGAACGTACTTCTTCCTGCTCTTGTGGCATCAACACCATATCACTTTGATTACTTTATTATTGGTGGGCATGCACACCTTTGCGCCCCTCCTCCGTTATTTATTTTCCTCGTTTTCCCCATTTTTCCCCACTGATTATGGGTACTTCCCCTTCGACGCAGTCTTCATACCATTTCCCCCCCGTCCCAGAAATTCCTGGCATTATCCCACTTTACTTATTAGAAGCAATCATACAACGGGTCCAACCCCGTCGCAAAAAACCTCGAGAGTTGGGGTGTTTTGGTGGAGTGAACGAAGAAGAAGAAGAAGCAGCAGCTGAAGAAGAAGCCAAGAAAAATAAATCATTTTTTCTGTTTTTGTTGTTGATTTATGCGTTTGTTCGATGTCCCTCATACCAAATCCTCCTTTCGCCTTTTGTCTATAAATGTATCTCTGGTTTTTCATACACAAAAACAAAATATATATTCCCTCCAGTTATTTACAAAAGAAACCACTACCGAAGATTAGGATATGTAATGAATTAAGAAGGTACAATAAATGTGAAATCTCACTTCATAAGTATGGATGTTTAAGCTCCTGTGACTTAATTTTTTTCTGTGTACTTGCTGCACTTTAGCTCCTGTTGATAATGAGCCAAATCATTTTTCGTGAGATAAATTTCTCCTCGACTACGGCGGCATATAAGTAGCTGGAAAACTTATGTTCTGACCTGGCCCCAAACTCCGGCTCCTAAGCTAGTTACTATGCTTTTGTCTGGCAAGTCATTCAGTGGCTTCCCCCTCCCTCCTCGCCACCCCCTGGCTCACCTTGAAGAAAATGGGCGGGGGAAATGGGAGGAAGGATGAGAGAGGGGGAAGTTGGCGTCGACAAGTTCGAGTTTTGGTGCGCTCCTTGAAAGCGTTATAAATCATTGACATGATTAAGCGACGCGGCACGACACGACATCCTCTTGTTGTAGTTGTAGTGGTGGAATATATATATACCTATATAATGGGGAAGCAGCTAGTGGCAAGGAGAAAGTTTTCCAACAATCCAGGGCGGCGATGGGCAAAATGATAATTTAATATCGAAAATTGTTTTTATTGAGTTGATTTGTAAGTCGAATATGGGTTTAGGCTTGCAGGAATTCGTGGGGTAGGAATGGAATCAGTACTTAAAATTCACTGAGTATTAGGGCACTTGATAGTATTAAAAGAGAGATATTAAGAATATCGCTTAATCATATATTATTATTTATTTTAAAATACAGCTGTTTAGTGCCAATGCCAAACAGAATCAAGAAATTCTTTAGAGACAGTTTAAAGTCCTTTTCAATATCCTGATGAAAAACAGCTCCCCCGAGTCGTATAAAAATCGTATGAAAATCGCGGAAAAGACGTGTTTTCAATGCAGCTCGCTTGGGCACTCGTCGTCGTCGTCGTCGTTTCCACCCGGGGCACTTGAAAATGCGATACTCATCCGCCACTTTGGCCCCGGCATCTTACATAATATTCCGTTTGCCTTTGCACTTGTGTCTCCCATTTTTCCACATGCCCAGCCCTTTTTTCCGTTTTTCCCGGGGCGTTCCCATACCAATTTTACCATT